ATCAGCCAACAACATGGCCCTTTTCCTGGTCGAAAGGATCCCAAAATCCAAAATTCTACTTCAGATCAGAGCAATACAGTGGCCACTGTAAAAACTACCCTTTACACGAATCAGGTGCTCTCTGGAATTTATGCAAGTCACACACAGAATACTTGGTTAAGTTCAGACATCCGTTTAATCAGTACTCTCTGTCTCAAAAATAGTTTCAAGAGTTATTGCATGGTTTCCATGGAGACTGAAGCCAAAGAGTTCTTCTTTCTATTTCTGTCTGTGCAAATCCCATCACATTTAAGCTGCCAAGTTTCTCAGGAGAGCCTGAAGGACTAAAAGTGGCAGTAATACCCATGTTACTGTCTATCACAAGCCACTTAATTATTTTAGAAACATATTTACCTTTCCGTATGAGAAGAATATTTTATAGTTCCACGTGTTTGATCAGATGGAAGCAAATAGTTTAAGGAGTTACAATTGCATTTCCACAGCAAATGTATTATTTCAAAACCTACTTATCTTCTACTCCATTTTACTATATTGGCCCAAGGTACACCAGCTGCATGCAACTTATGCACTTTAACCTCACAAGGAGCCTTTTAACAACATCTCCCGTAACAACCTCCCAGACAAACTAATGCAGTTAAAGTCTAGGAAAGTGGATAATGCGGTGGACTGAAACCTGCTCAAATGACAGGCCCACAGGGCTGTGATCAGCAGGATGAAGTCCACCTGAAGGCCAGTTACTAGGGAACAGCCACAGGGCTTGACACTGGGACTGATACTCTTTAACATCTTCATTAACAAGCTGGATGATAGGGCAGAGTGACTCCTCAGCAAGTATGCACACACACTACGCAGAACTGGGAGGAGTGGTTGATAGAGTAGATGGGTCTGCTGCCACTCAGAGGCACCTCAAGAGGCTGCAGAAATCATCTAACAAGAAACTCAGTAAGTTTAACAAAGGGAGACGCCAAATTCTGCACCTGGGGAAGAATAAACCCATGAACCAGACAGGCTTGGGGCTACCTGAAAAACAGCTTGGCAGAGAAGGATATATAGGTTGTTCCTGGTGGACAATAAGTTGACTATGAGCAAGCAATGTTCCCCTGAACCAACCCAGCTGTAGTGGGAAAAGGAGAGCCAGCAGATTGAGGAAGGTGATTTTTCCTGCCTGCTGAGTAGTAGTGAGAGCACATCTGGGGTTCTGGATCCAGTTCCAGTCTCCCCAGTACAAGACAGACATGGGTGTATGAGCAAGTCCACTGAAAAGTCACAAAGATGAAGAAGAGATTGGAGCATCTGAATAAAATGAGAGAATGAGAAAGCAGGGATTGTTTAGCCTTGAGTAGAGAAGGCCCATCAAGGATCTCACCAGTGTTCATAAACATTTGATGGGCAGAAATAAGATGATGTACCCAGGCTCTTCTCAGTGTTGACCAGTGAAAGGATGAAAGGCAATGGACACAAACTGAACTATAACGAATTCCCCTTAAACATCAGAAAACGGCTGTTTTGCTGAGGGGGTTGTCATTCACTGGAATAGGTTGCCCAAGGAGACCCTGGAGTGTCCATCCTTGGAGATACTTAAAACCGGACTAACCATGGCCCTGATGAACCTGCTCTGGTTGACCTTCCTTTGGACAGGAGGGTTGGACTCCAGACTCAAGTATTCTGTGATTCCAAAAATGCAAACTGCAGAGAGATGCCCCTAAGAAGTTATGCCCCAGTGGAGCTCAGCTTCTAAAAACTCCAGCAAGAAGCTCTGGTAATCCAACCCAAATGATGCAGCTATAAATGACACGAGCTCTACTAAATGTCTGGAATAAACAAAGGCAGTTAGCAGTGAAGTCAGGCTTCTCCTGTCCAGATCAACTTTCTCAGATGCAATACCACTAAAACAGGCTGCAGGATGCTAGGGACTTTGTTAAGAATGGCACTGCTGAGCAATTCTGGATACATCCATTCAGCTAAGACTGTAGCAGGATGGCTCAGGAATCCTGATGACATCCTGTGGCAATCTAATGAGATCCATTCAGCATACTCCAAAGAAACAGGGCAGCTGGATTAGACCTTCCTATCTGGAGAGGAAGACTAGAAAGGATCTTCATCTTGCACTCAGGACCATATTTAAAAAAAAAAAAAAAAAAAAAGAGGTTGAATGTCATTGACCAAATCATATTGTTTATAAAACAGTAAATAAGAAAAATAAGAATCCTTTATGAAGAACATTCAAAAGCTTCCAGCACTTTAAAATCTCAGTCTCCTATATATTTAAGAAAACACATGAAGTAGCTGCCATCTGCAGTTTCAGCTTTGGCTTCAAGGAGTAACAACCAAGTAATTTGGGCAGCAACAACAAAACAGAAGAATAAAATAAAAAGTGTTCAGACCAAATTCTGAGCACTGTAACATACCAATTTAAGGAAGTCCCAGCACCTATAGATATTCCAGTCCAGAGTTATGTACTGTTCAATAGGGGAAACAACCTTACCAGCTGACCCAAATGAACTTTAAAATGGCTACAGACACGAGCTGCTTGATGGAATCTACTTACATAAGTGATGTGGGTATTACAGGTCACAGCTACCCACTTGAGAGCAGTTTAAACGAGCACTGTACCTGGCAACACTACTAGCTGAGCTTTTAATCTGCAAAAATTCAACCAAGAAAACATCAGAACAACAATCAACACGACTGCAGAGGCACATTATTTGAAACAATGCTAAATAAGTACAGATCCTTATAGATTTTGTTAAAGTTTTTTATTATTTTGTTAGAAGAGCTTTCAAAAAACATGCTGTATGGTATCATTTTCTCTTCATTGTATGTTAGTGTTCATCACAGTCTGCAGCCTAAGGTTTAAACAACATTAAAACTTCAGCTCTTTAAAAATATTATGGGTGGTCTTATTCTTTCCTTCTCCCTTCCCAGACAATGACTGATGCAGTTTACTCCTCTGTGCTCAGACCCCTCCAAGCACAGGCAAAAAATTCCAGTTACAAAGCACCTACAGTGTAATAACAAAGAATGGAAAGTCGGATTGCTAAAAAAACCAGACAACAACATGGGAACATGGATGTCACCAGTGAAACTGTCTAGCACTATTTTAAACAACGCATGATAAAGTTACAAAGGAATTGGAGAAAACAGCAGATTAATAGAATGTAAGTAATACCCTGGGTCATGGGTCACATATTTACTAGAAGACAAGAGGTGGGGCTTTATATAAGATATATGATAGTTCTCTACAAAGAGAGTTAAAAGAATGGAGAAAACCTGAAGAGCTTTGATACTGGGAAGATGCATTGATGGAGCAAAGCAGTAACTAAATCTAAACTGAGGAGCGTTAGAAACAGCGATTTAATACTGAGTTTGGTGTCAAGTCACCAGACAGGAAAATTCAAGAAAGGGGTTTCTGTGGTTATACAAATCCAGACATCAATATTTAATGTATTTCACATGTACTCCTCTGAAGCAAAAAAATATCAGAATGAACAGAGAACGTGACAGGTTTCAGAGGCTTTATAGATAAAGACCAGCATTTAGACAATAATAATCTGTGTAAGAGCAAAGATGACTACAAGGTAGCTGGCCTCAGACTACGAGCTAGTATTCTACAGTTTGTCTCAATCTACACTATGGAATGCATTACTAGTGCAATATAACGACCCAGCACTGGGCTGCATAACTCCACTGCGATAAAGTAGAGAGATAGGCATCTTTAGAGAGCAATGTGGTAGACAGGCAAATTGGTGAATTAAGGTGAACAGTAACTTCAACTGTTAAAGGTGCCTATTAAAATGGTGCAATGGACACAACGATTATGCAGGAATTTAGCCTATTAGAATAGGTCCTTCCTGGTTCAAAAACCTCCACTAGACTATCCAGCTTGGTCAGCTGAGGGTAAAATCTCCTTTACACTTTTGATGGATACACACATGCCAACACAAGTTCACAGTGTAGGTATAGCCCAAAACAAAAAAAGCAAACAGAGAAGAGAAACTAGAAAACAAAAAGCACTAACAGGATGAGACTGGATGATATTCTGCAGATAAAGGTAAGTCAGAGGTTTACAGAGGATGACCATGCATAAGACAAAGAGCTGTGACAAACTATATTTCTGAAGTTCCACCTGCCAAACCTGCTGCAACACTTCTGTCCCCATTAAAAAAAAAAAAAAAAAAAGTACATTTATATTCCACAGATAACACACAAGACTCTGGGATGGTAAGAACTTAGTCACTGTCAAATGTTACGTCTGTTAAAATATATCAACTTCTCTATTATAACATACCGCATCTCTCACTTTGAATGCCCTGGATGATAAGTTAAATGCAATATTAGAGTCTCCAATTGGATTTTACATGCACACTCTAAGTTATATAAGCATTTTATAATTATGTGTTCTTAAAATTCCAAATGCACTAATTAATTTTCCATTAACTCATCCACTACACAGGATACCAAAAAGTATGAATATTTTAGCTACCAATGACTGCAATAACCAGTAACATACAATAAATCTGGTTTACCAATAAAACGTATGTCACTATGCCAAACAAGGACAGACATTCAAAGAACAGCCCATTAGTTAAGTTTGAATTCTGTTCTATTACTTCAAAAAGTCCTCCTCAGGTCTCCTATTAGTAGGTTCCAAGAAGAAATGTTTTTAGGCAGCACATGCTGTTACAACAAAACATAATAAAACTGTAAGTAACTCAGCACAGCAAACTGAGAACTCATTAAGAAACAAAGTTAGTAAAACATACACTTATATTCCCAGTGCAAAACTTTTGCAGAGAAAATGAAACTGGAAGAGTGAGGTGATAATAACTCATACCAAAACAAAACAAAACAAAAAAACATGCATTTTCTTACCAGGAAACTTCCAAGGAAGAAAATTATGCAACCAACACTATTCGTCTGAAAAGGAGTACACTACATGGATGGCATTTGTATGTGTACAACGTAGAGAGGAGGATTACCTTAATACAAAACATGATTACCTGCTAACTTCAGAACTCAAGTAACACAGCAGATGAATGGCCCAAAGCAAAGGTCCTGCATATGTTGCAAATGCTGTAAGGAAGATAGCTGGTATTTCCACGTAGCTTTCTAGTCCCACAAAACCTGCTGAAATATCCACAGTAGCAATGCCATTTGAATTTCCCTGAAAACAGGAATAAAAAAGTAAAGCTTCAAATACCTTTGAAGAAACATTTAGAACACATTATAACAGTATTAATTATTGTACCACTTGAACACTTACTCTTTAAGCCACTTTACAATACAGCCATATTCTTTACATCATGATTTCAATAAAGCAGCTTACCAAACAAGAGCTTTTATTTAGGATTTACAGACCAATGAAGGCATAAACAGCACAATCTTGTACTTGTCTTATTTTGCGTGCAAATTAACATTCCTATTGGTTAATAAATTACATCCAAGAAAAGAGTTTAAAGCAAGCAGCTACACCTGCTGATTTCAGTCACAGTAATGAAATTAAAAATGCATTTTTCATCACGCATGGTTCAAACCCAAGATTTTAGGCTTGTTGCCCAAAATTATACCAGGAAATTAATATTTCCTGCCCTTAGAGACAGAAAGGCTCTAATTTAGACCTGTAGAGGAACACTACACTGCCCGCCTGCCCCATGAATCAAGTCGCTGCATGTAACCAGATTAAGGCTTACAAATTCAGAGAGGTTCCTGCTTTCCAAGATTCTGTACCACAATTGCATTGAAACAGATCAAAAGTCAGCCTAGATAGACTGAATCATCAATAAAGGAAATTTAAAATGTAGAAAGAGAAAAACAGAAGGAATATACAGTAATGGAAGTATTAAGAGCTGTCCAAGACTTGTATGTTTTACCTAGTTATCTTTTTCAGTGATTAAGACCACAAAGTAACAAAGGATAATGTAAAATTGAAAGAAGTATTTTCTATTGAAAATGCCTAAATATTCAACTTTACTCAAATACCTAAAGCAGAGAACACATCCTGTGATTAAGGCAGAATATTTCTTAGCAGGTCAAAGATAGGTTTCCTCAGACTAGTGTGAAAGCTCTCAGATATTCTTGCCATACCTGGAGAAGCTTATCGGTTCCTAACGCACTGGTATTCTAACAGCCATCAAACTCTCCTTTTCCCCCCACAGAATTCCAGACCAACACAAGAGTAAGTGCTGTTACCACCAACACCCTCACACCCAGTCTCAGCAGAGCACATAAGGAGTGGCAGCTCCCCCTTTCCCTCCAACCTGATCTCCTTTCAGCTTAGTGAGCAGTCTGAACCACCAAGATACCCCATTGAGGAAATCTTATGATCAAACACACATGTCTGGGTTGCACATAAGATCCAGAGCACACCAGGAAGTATGAAAAACAGGTAGCTTTTTCCAACTACATAAGTGACTAGCCATCAAGGACAGGAAAAACTGTGTTCCTGAAATAGCTCTAACAACTAAGGAAAAAAAGGCCATCCATGTTGACAGAACGATTCAGAGCTCATCATCAGTACTTTCCCTGTGAATCCTACCATGAAGATCTCCCCAGAATGTAAGGGGTGACAGAAGCTGTAAGAAGGCAGTAAGCTACTGATTTTATCAAGACACCCTACAGCAGAGAGATTGTGACATATGACTGTCAGACTTTCTCATTTTGACCTTCACCAGGTACCACTGTAGTGACTGGTACACTGCACCAATGTAACAAATTATTGTTACGCATTTAGTGCAATGTTCAGCAATGACAGGAGCAGAGCAAAGAATAACTGATGGTGAGCCACTAAAGAATAAGCTTATTTGTGCCCTAGTACTGTAAGCTGAGACTGGAAAAGAAAGCTGAAGAGCAAAGCTCCTCCTCAGGTTTAAGGTGTATATAATGAGGAAAAGGCAAGAGCAGAAAGGTCAAGTGCAGGCCTTTGAGAGCAGGGCAGGGTGCTGCTCCTCAACAAGTAAAAGTTTGCCAGGGACAGATAGGGAGAGAACCTACTCTCTGTTCCCCCAGTCCTTGTCCAAAGCAACAGGTCCTTCCCCCACCACATCTACTTATTTGCTCTCTTTCTTCTCTGTATAATGCATGCAGAGTAGAAAAGCTGAGACATCAGGCAATCCTGCTCATCTTATGAAGAGCTGAAAGGTCTTTTCACATTGTTTGCTCCTCCTGGACATACACATGGTTGATCCTTGGCACCTTGGCACCCCATTCCACTGCATGTTAGAAGGAGCAAGAATAAATGCAGCAACAGGGAGTGTATGTCACTGGTCCTGCACAAAGGGCAAAAAGATATACTCTCCTATGGAAGGTAGTGAGTACAGAGGTAGGAACCAGATGAAGGAATAGTGCTTTCCACCTTCTCAACTTCCTTTCACACAAAGCTCACTCCCCCCATCTTTGACTTTGTTTAATGTGATATAGCTGTGGAACAGGGAGAACAATGATGCACATACCTGAATCCATGCACTTACAACTTTGACCACGCTGTGCGTTAGAGTATCCAAACACTTCACTCTCACCAGGCTCCAAAGCTACTATTGGAAGAGCCCTGCTGAGCAGTCAGCAGTGCTTCTTCTTCACATTAGGTATCTTTCTCCAAGACTAATTCATACATTTGATCTGAATTTTAGTAGCTTGTAACTTCTAATACTCCACACAACACGCAAGTGTCAATTCAGAGTGTCTGCTTTTATTTTAAAGTATCACTCAAGTATTTCAAATGGTCTAACAGCTTATTGTGGTAAGGGCAGAAAGTGACAGAAGACAATGCACTATTGTGCATAAAAGCATTCCATGATAATCCATCATCACCTAGATCAATGAAGCACAAATATAGGAACACTGGCTAGAGAAATTATCCAGCATATCTGCTACAGTAACAAAGGAGAATCCTTCCACAGACAGTAATGAAACTATCTAAAAGCCTCTTCAAAGCTGCAATGATTTTTCTGAAAATGTTTCAGATACCACATCACTCACTGAAAATGAGCAGTATCTCAATGACTCTCACTGAACTGAGAAGTACAGAGGTGCAAGACAAAAATGACGTGCTTCTGGCTTGTTTAACAACCGATTTAGCATAGCAGACTGTTACCACACTCTTGCACATAATTTTTTGTCTTTCTAGTAACTGGAATTCTATGAACAAGCATGGAATGAGGAATTCAATTATTTGAAGCAAAAAATTTAAGGTGAAAAAAAGTGAAATAATGGGAAAAAAATAAAATGGAGACAGTTCTGGTGTCTCCATTGTTGGAGGTTTCAACACCCTGAGCAACCTGGTACGACCTCAGACTGCTCTGAGAATGGGACTGAACTGTGGTCCTCCCGAGATCCTCTCCAACATAAGTTACCCTACAATGCTTTGAAATCATAACAAGAGAAAGATATAAACCACTTTTAAATGTCACTCAGTCTATCTCTTCACCTAAAGGCAACATGAATTAGATACAAATTATTCTGAAAATGTACAAACCTATTCTGTTCTCCTCCAATAATTAAAATTACCAGAGAGTATAAGCAAGTCTTAAAGATTTTGAGACTGTATTTTCTTTTTCCTCTTCTGCAGATATACTGCTCTAAGGATGGAAACAAAACCCTGCAAGACTAATAAATACATGGAATTTTTGTTCATTTATGAGCTTTCACATGGTAACAAAAGTATTTTAAGAAATATTTACATCAACAATTTTTTTTAGGACCTGAGGTAGTTAAAAGAAACAACCAAGATACTTATTTCTATTCTAATTGTATTTGAAGGGCACATAACAATGGTAAAGATACAATATACTTCTGGCAAGTCACTGATGAGTTGTGAGATGTGGACAACACAGAGCTTAGAAGAAAGCAATCCATCATTCAAGCTTGTTGAAAAATTCATCAAGAGATTTTGAAGTTTGCAATAACATCCTGACAAATAAGTAGCATTCTGACTAAATGTGTTAATATATTTTTGACAATACTTGAGTGTTTTTAACTTTGCTTCTCTTCACTGGATTAGACACAGCAATAAATGAAGCAGAGATCCTAACTAGTAAAACAAGCCTAAAAACCGAAGTGACTGTATCCAGCTCCACATACGTAACACAGGACTTCAGCTAGTCAAGCTCTGAAAACCTCCAAGCATGAAGACTGCACAACCTATGTGAGTAACCTTTTCCACTGCTTACCATTCACAAGTCTTGCTGAAGGGCTGGAAAAATAAATTTACGTCTAGTATTCCCAAATTACAACTGTTTAATAAATTTGCCTTTTAAGTTCACATTGTCAGAAAGCAGCAAGAGCCAGCTGGTTCTGCAAGGGAAGGTAAGATGGGAAATGGGCGTGAAAACAAGGCAGGTGAGAGCAGTAAGTCAGGAGGACAGGGAGTGCTAAGTGGGATGCCCACATCACAGCTGGATCCAGAGACAGTGATCTGGCCCAGACTCAGTCCAAGGGTTACACAGCAAGTCTGTAGTGACACGATAGGTCCTACATTAGGCCAGAAAGCCCATACACCATGTCCAAGTCCAGATCAGGATCAAGAAGGTAAGAGACAAACATACCTGCTTACACATCTGTGATACAACTCAGGCTGTAAAACACATTAAAAGCAGGTCTCACAGGACAGCAGGGCCAGGCCCTTCCTTCTAGCTTTTCTCCCAACAGCTCCTCTCAGTGAAGGAGATCACCTTGAACTCCACTAAACGAAACTCCTAGACAGGAGATGTACTCACGGTCCTAGTACAGATGAAGTGTGGAATGCAAAACCAAGTGTAGGCTCAAGGCATTTGATTTCAACCCATACTTACTTTGGTTTTCTTTCTACTTCTACATAAGATCAAAATATTAGATTCCACACCCAGGCACTTCATTTGCCTCCCCCTCGTCCCCCCTTTCAACTATACCGATTAATGAAAAATAGTATTTCTTCCTGTCAACCTTGTTTACTCTGTACCTGGGATTTTCACAGCTATACTTCCATAGAGTCTTTAAAGACACTACAAGATTTTTTTGACAGAACACTGCCTCATTCATTAAATATGCCATCCTGAACAAGGCTATTTTTACTCACTATCATATTCAAAAGGCCATCACTTACATTTCACACTTAGCGAGACAGTTACTGTTTTTGTCATTACATACCCTCTTGCCAACCAAGTTTCAATAAAGGCTCAGCAACATGGGCAAGAAGTCTCATTATTCTCATGATCACACCAGGACATGTGCGAAAAGTAGTTCTCTAAATCTCTCTCATATTTCCAGATGAAAGAGTTTTAGATTTAGTTTATATTTCTCTTCTCCTGGCTCATTTAGCTAGCACAGTTTAAATATAGTACCCAGTCTCATGTAGATCAATATCAAATTTCAGTGCTTTTTCCATTTCTGTATTTCAGTCATAGACCTGCTATCATTTTTGTATGCCACATTAGATCTTTATGCCTGTCTGGAAATTAAAAATTGTGAACCCAGACAGTTTAAAAATGGTAGCTCTACCACTCAGCTCAGGCTTTAACACTTCTCTCGTAACATCCTCCCAGGCAAACTAATGCAGTCCAGGTTAGGAAAGTGGGCAGTGAGGTGGATTGAAACCTGCTCAAATGCCAGGCCCACAGGGCTCTGATCAGCAGGACAAAGTCCACCTGAAGGCCAGTCACTAGCGAACAACCACAGGGCTTGACATTGGGGCTGATACTCTTTAACATCTTCATTAATGATCTGGATGATGGGGCAGAGTGCCTCCTCAGCAAGTAGGCACACTAGGCATAACTGAACAAGCTGCTCTGTTTAATCTCAAGATCTTGAGAAAGCTCAGCAGGGATCAAATCATAGCATGTGTATGAATACCTGTTATGGGGGAGTAAAGAAAATATAGTCAGAGTCTGACCTTCTCAGTCACTCAGTAGTGACTAGTGGAAGGCTGAAGAGCAGTGCACACAAACACTTCTGTTTAAGCATCAGGAAAAGTTTTTTTGTTGCTAGGGTGCTCAAACATTGTGGCCAACTGCCCAGAGAGCCTGCAGAGCCTTTGTCCTTGTAGGTGATTAAAATTGGACTGGACACCTGACCTGGCTGACTTGTTAGATGGGGGAGTCTGCACTGAATGATCTCCAGAGGCACCTTCCAGCCTCAACTTTACTGTGATTTGGTGGTTCTTCGAAATTCTCAGCTAACTGTACCAAGAATTCACCATCACTGAAAATGCATGCTTTATGAAAACATTCAAGCCATTCTTTATTAGTCCCTTTTCCACAACCTGGATTTTCTTGCTAGCCTACCCACCATTAAACTTCTGGCAGCTACTTCTGCTTTGTACCTCAGTACTGAGAGGCCCTGCCTTCAGCCTCTTGACAGCCCCACTAAAGGCTGCTCTCAGAATGCCATCATCAGAGCTGACTTGCCTAAACAGAAACATTCAAGCCATGCAAAAGCCATTCAACCAAGAAGTGTTACCTCCTCTGAGCAGGAAAACTGGATAGGAAGGGATGAAACGTGATGATCTTAACCCCATCAGCAATTCCCTGTCCTCACACGTACTCTCAGAACAAAGTCAAGCCTATGCTCAGTCAGTACTAACAGGATCAGAAACGGAGTAGGGAAGTACCCTAAACTTAACTTCACCTTTAACATCCTCAGCCACGCCCCAAAAGTAAAGCCAACACAGGTCCCGTCTTGAAATTTTGCAACAAATCAGAAATCCTCTCCTCCTAAACCATAAACAACCTGATTCCCAGTTTAACAAATGCCCTCCTTAAACAGTCTGCTACAATAAGTTTCCAGGGTTATTAGAAGTGGAGAGAACCTCTCCAGCTTCAATGCTAAGGAAAGTCTGTGGAATTGCAACCTTATTTGCAACGCAGAGAACAATGTTATTGAAATTAGTAAGGCTCCTCAGGAAAGAAGATACCATTTGATGCAATAAGAATGGCAATCAATTCTGATTCTCATAAGAGACATTACCTTGTCACAGAACTTCCCTTCAGTCTTAAACTGTATGTAGACCTATCGTGATGCTACCAAGGGTTTTGTAAGCCTCAAGAATCAGGGACAAAAGACATCTGCCCTTTACTGGTATTAATCAACTCAGCTGAAATTCTTAAATTTATTATTACCAGAACAGTACTAAGGAGGCCCACTAACAGACCAAATCACCCCCGGTATAGGTATCTGATATTTTTAACACTTTTGGAAATCTGAATTGAGGATAAGTTATCTTTCCCTGATTCTGAAAACCAAACATTAATAATACAATTAGAAACTAAACCCTTCTGAAAACTCAGTAAACTCTTCCACTCTGAGATTTAGTTGGCATTTTACTCACAATGAACAATGTTTCTTTCGAAAACTATTCTCACTCCCACCCCTGTAGCAGAGAGAGTATTCAGCTTACCTGAAAATAGAAGAAAGCTTGGCCAAACCAGTAGTGCATGATAGTAATCTGTGCTGCATCAAATTTCAAAGGTCTCCAGATGTATTTTGTCATCATTGTCTGAATCAACAGACAAAACACCAAGACTGGTAAATTGTGAGGTCTAAATAGAAGGGCTGCTAGTAGAACCAATCCACTATACACTTCCCATAATCCTGTACTCTTCACGCTGGAGTCTGAAGAAATAACCTGTGACTTTAGCAAATCTTTGGTGCCAGTGAAGACTATGCCAAGAACAAAGACATAAACAAAACGAGCTTCAGTAATCCCCCTAAAGAGAAGCGCGGGAAAAAAAAAAAAGTAATAATAATAATAATAAATAACTAAAACAGAAATATTAGCTATTTACTAACGTTTATTTCACAGGTCGGAAAGTATTTCAAAAGAGGTGCAGACGAATGCAGTTCTGCCAAACAGGTTAAATTCTAAGGCTAGTACTGGTCAATTTCATAAGAGAGCTTTCTCAAATACAAAACTCTAAAAATAGTTTGTAATTAAATTGCAACACATCCAAATGAACTTCAGCAAAGAAAGCAGCTTGTGCTAAAAAACTAACCTATAAAATAAAATATCATATTAATGTAACATATGTCAGCTAATGTAGCAAAAATAAATTTATGTTATTACTATTCAAAGTCTAGCTCCATAAATATATTCGTATACATATGTCATTTATACAGCATAATGAATTTCCCCAAAAATACTTCTTAGAGTGATATGGAAACTTTATTTCAGGAATTAAAGTTAATTATGAATTACTATTCCCTTTAAGCTGCTCAGTCATTTTTCACTTAACATTCACACAAACATACGCTCCTTTTTAGCCAACCAAAAAGATAGTGATAGTATTTGAAGATCCTTTTTTCACTCTGAAATTTCTGCATAATTCGGACATCTTTTCACCTCACACAGCTGCACAGATATACAGACATGCTGGTTTACACTAGCACATTTTTTCCTTGTAACTGTACACATTTTTCAAATCCCTAAGCAATCCCATTACAAAAAATTTGAATGTTTTAAGTTGTAATTAGCACCTATTGCTATGTTCATTGCACGTATAAATTCATTGGCCTCTTCATGTCCAGTGAAAGTTGGCTTCTGAAAAAAACACAGCATCTTGTCCAAAAGAGCAGACAAGGACAAAGACCAGTAAGCTTAAAAACTGTGACCTGCTATTCTAGCAATACAAGGCCAAAGGAACAAAGAAAGTTACAGCAGATATCCATCAGAATGCACTGATATTCTTATG